CAAGGAGAAGCAACGATAAAAGGAAGGAAAAAAGCAGCAGGGAAAGCGAGAGAAAAAGATGCTATGATGAAAAGGAAGAGGAAATAAGAAGGAAAAAAAGGGAAAACAAAAAAAGATACAGTGAAGTGGAAGAGAAAAGGAAAAGAAAAAAGATTAGGGATACAAACGAAACGCTGTTGGAATCGTTGCAGGCTGTGCCATCATCGTTCAACTTTCTTTCTTTTAGAAGTAGCCATGGCCGAAAAAACGTTGTCCCTAGCCAGCGAGGCAAGGGATTATGATTATAAACTATGAATCAAACGACGACCATGTGCTTCGGTTAGAGGGAATTGGAAAAATAGTAATTATTCCTACTAATGAAGGTGCGCAGCAGGCGGTGAATGTAGGGAGGCCCTCAACGAGTTAGGACTGCAGCAGGTGGCGAGCCGAAGAACTGAACCCGGTAATACGGACTTAATACGTAGGTATCGGATAAGTTGGCTTTAAACGATACCTGAGCGAACTAACTGATGCACGTTACTATGAAGCACGGAATGCTTATTAACGGGGAAGATGAAAAGATCGGTCTTGCAATAGAGCCCCGGTAGTTATGTGAGCCAAAACAATATGGGAAAACGGCAACTGTCGAAACTAATACATGTGAAGAAGCTGGCAACGCTAATGCATGCCCAATCGTCTCTGGCACGATTCAAAGCAGCAATAACCAAAGATTTACTTCTATTCGGACTCCGTGATGTACGACAGTTGGTAGGTTGGGCAACATCCTACAGCGATCGTGTCGAACTGACGCTGACCGAGGCAGGCTTGCGGTCGATCCCTGTTAGTGATGGTTCAGCAATCCATACCTGATCTTCTTTGAAAGGTAATTCATCCAGGAGCTAATTCTTCTCAGCGGTTGCTGCGAAGTCTTAAAAATCTAAACGCGGTGAATACAGATAGCCCTGCAATACCGGTGGGATTTGATTAAAAAAGGAATGAGGTCCCGACGCGCACGGGATCTCCCAGACGGCAACGATGCGACCGTGCCTAATACGGCCGGAACAGTCAATAGGGACAACAGAAAACTGAAACTTTGCGGGGATATTCCCTGCGCATGCATGAGCTAAACATTTCAAATTCAGCTATCACGCGTGCTTGTATCTCACGCATGTTCACTTTGAAGTCAACAATTCGTACTTTGCGAAATCGAAAATAGCATGAAAACAGTAGCTGGAATTTCTTCAGAATATTTATAGTCCCTATGAGAAATCGTATACCTAAATTGAGTTTCGACTTGCACTTGCGATACGGCTTAGGGCACTTCAAGGACATTTGTAGAAAAGTGGTGATTTCGCTTGTCGGATCATCTGCGAAGCTGAAATTGTGCAGTGATATTCTACATTCATGTTTGGTTTTAAATTCAGCTTGGAAGTGAAACTTCCTGCACGTAGACATGACAAATACTCAATTTTATCGCAAATTCAAAAGCGAGGGTATTTTGCAGATTTCATAATCCCCTAAGCCTGCCTTCAAATCTGTATTTTTTCGAAGAACAACCCGTTTACCGAAAAAATGACCGGACTTCATGCAAAAAAACTGATAATCATACGCAATATAGGTCCACGCGATCCCATGATGCAACACTACCATCCCAACCTAACCTGTACGTAAGAGAAGTAGAAGGCAGTAGGGGCCATAAAGGCCCTATAGACAAAAGGAAAAGGCTAACAAGCTGAGGAACAGGAACAACGGCCCATTCAATGAAGGGTAAAGACCAGAAAAGGCAGTACCTGTCCGACAAGTTGACTATGAATAGCCCGTCCGCAGGACGGTGATCATCCGAAATGCGAACCAGTAAGTTTGTAAAAAAGAAAACTAAAATAAGGTCAAAAAGATTGTAGTGTTGCATATGTACAGAAACCGTATGTCATGTGAAAAAGTCATGTAGAGAGATGTATGTAAAAGGAAGCATGCCTGTGTTTCATCCCTAAGCTGTAAACACAGACAGCAGGAGAATCATCAGTACAGCCCTCTAACCACCTTGTTACAATGAAAGTAGCTCGGATGAGAAAAGAGATAAAAAACATGCGAAAAAGAAACGAAAAAAAAAAATCTTAAACTAACATGGAGTACGAAATTCCCAGTCTTGCTCCGCTTACATGCCGGTTCCCCTTGCGATGACATACTAGAAGTAATTACACTAATAAGAAATGACAGGATGTTACATCGGATTAGCGGCGGAAAGTATCATCTCGCAAATCCCGTTTGAAGGGTAGCAATATACTTATTAACAAATTTAGGGACGCATTGATTTAATTTGCGTACGTCGTAGCCCATTTCTAAATAGGCGGAAACTAATCGTCTGGTCCACCAAATAAATCGATCTAAAGAGGTGCAGATGCGTGAGTATCGCATCAATTGGGAAATGAGAATACCCTCATGCAGGGTTCGATCA